TTTTTGTTCTTAGGAATTTTTTTTTTCTTTCAGTTTATCAATATTTAGCACATTTTTCTATGCTTTTTCATTTTAATTTCTCAGTTTATTCTTCTTCTTTTTTTAGCTATATTTTAGACATTCCAGTGAGTCTCCGGCATTATTGTTGACGTCCAACAAACATTCTAGACATTCCAATGACTTCCAGTGACATTCAAAACATTTCGGCAATACTCTGGCAAATTTCCAGTGATATTCGGCGACTTTCCGGTGATGTTGAACATTCCGGTGAGTCTCCGATGACTGTTTGACAAAAATCTGGCGGTGATGGGATGTAGCAGCGTCTTCAAAAAAAAAAAAAAAAAAAAAGTTTTTTGGTAACAATTAAAAATATATAGGACTAATTGGTGCAAATATTTTGTTTTGGGGACTAAATGAATTTTGAACTTTGTGTATGAGACTTATAAGTAAGTTCCCCATAATTTATTTTGTTCAACTGTGAGGGTAGATTATTTATGAAAAAGAATCATATAATGATTTTATCAAATTTATCGGTAAAAAAGTAGATGGTGTTTATTTAAAATTATTATTTTTATTTATTTTTTGCAGACAAAAATCATCAAAACATGTGGATAAAATGAATAACTCAAATCGGATCAATTTAATTTTTTCATACATGATCTACACACATAATAGAATAAAATGAGTAACTCAAATCGTTAAAATGAAACATGTGTCAACTGTAGAGAAGTCAACCTCTTTTTAATTAATGTGATCAACAACAGTATAACCATTTGACATAAGTCCCCATTTCAGAAGTTGGTTGGGACTAAAAAAAGTACAAAAAGATAAAATAGACTAAATAAGTCAATAGGACAAAATGTTATATCCAAATCATAATCATTTTACCTTTTTTCTCACAAAAAAGTAAAAAAATTTTAAAAATAAAAAAGTTCTTCCCAAACGAAACTAATTTAGTTAGGCTAAATTAGTAAAAAAAACTAAAAGATTAAACTTAAAAATTCTTCCTAAACAACCATAACAGTATGAATAATACTAGGGATCATGAAAAAAATAT